AATTCTGGCAGGTTTGATGCTGTGGCTGCTTCCCTGGGGAGCCTGTTCCAGTACCCAACCACCCTCTGGGTCAAGAAAACTTATTCCTAATATCCAACCTAAACTTCCCCTGACACAGCTTCAGACTATTCCCTTGGGTCCTATGACTGGTCACCAGAGGGAAGAGATCAGTGCCTGATCCTCTATGTCCTTTGTGAAGAAGTCGTAACTGCAGTGAGGTCTCCTCTCAGACTCCCTTCTCCAGGCTGAACAGACCAAGTGACCTCAGCCACTCCTCATATGTCTTCTCCTCAAGGCCCTTCACCATCTTTCTGTTACCCTTTTGGATGCTTTCTAGTAGCTTTATATCCATCATATATTTTGGTGCCCAAAACTACACATAGTATTCAAGGTGAGGTCTCACCAGTGCAGTGCAGAGTGGGACAGTCACCTTTTTTGACTGGCTGGCAATGCTTTACCTGATGCCGCCCAGTATCTTTTACAATTAACGTATTTTTAAAAGCCCTTTTTACTGTTCCCCACAGTACTGGCCAACTTCAACTCTAAAAGCAATATCTCTTTAGTCCTCTCATGTCACTCAACCTTGCTTTCAGCGGGCATACACTTTCTTTTTTTACCTTAGCTCCAGAAGATCCCTGCTCAGCCAGGACAGCTTTCTGCCTCGCCTGCTTGATTTCTGATATTTGGGAATTTCCCGCTCCTGTGCCCTTAGGAGGTGGTATTTAAAAAGTGAGCGTCACTGATGGACCCCAGCACCTTCAAAAGCATTTTCCTAGGGGAAATTAAAAGACAGAACAGTTCCATGGTTGTGACTTTGCCTTGCTCAAGTCCACTCAGTGCAGTCTTCTGTTTTGATGATGAGTGAGACACTGAGTGCTGCTCTTGGAGGATCACTTACTAGTTTGATATTCATATTACAGTAGAGGCACACAGATAGCATAACTTCCTCGTATGGCGTACCAGGTGGCAACGTAGAAGAGCGTGATGAGCCTTGGTAAAATCAAGCTACTTGGAATCCCTATTTTCTAGAAGTTCTTCAGTAGAATGAAACTATATCTATTATGATTTGCCTGATAAAACCCAATAGCATGGTCCATCTTCTTTCTTCTAGGTGCCCGGAAATCAAACTTACAAGCTGGGTTTTTTCTGTAATTTTTGAGATAATATTTCCCTCTCTTTCTTTCTTTCTCCATCTTTCATTCATTTAGTACATTTTGTGTCCTTCACAGTTTGTCAAAGGAAATAAAGTTGCTCAGCCAGTTCAAGTGTGCAAGGCTGGAAATATAAAATTCAACTAATTTGAAAACTTTAAGACCATATAAGTATTCACCAAATGTTCTTTTTCACTCAGCATAGATTTTACCTTTGTATATGTTACACATACACATATGTGCTGACACATTACTCTTCTCTGTAGAGGTTTCCTGAATATTTGAAGTCATCAAAAAGTTTTATGTATATATAAAAATGTATGATTTTTACCTGGAACTTGGTTTACAAATACAAGGGAAGTCAGGATGTTTGGAACTTTATATAATAAGTAAAGCGTACCCTGTCCTTGCATTCATGCCAGTCAAATGCACACAAAACCAGTAGGGTTTTTTCTTTGTATTTTCATTTTTTCATTATTTTTCCATGGAAAAGTAGGTGGGGTTTTTCATCTTGAGAAAAAAATCTAGGCTCTTTATCTGTACAATATACAGAGATCTGTTTGGCAGCCTTTGACAGCTACTTTGGAATGGAAGGTGGCAGAGCTTAATGAAATATATTACTGTCATTTAATCTTTGAAACTCTATAATAGTAATTCTAAGAGCAGAGCTCGTGTATATCAAAATAACGTGCACTGTAGTAGTTGTACCAGAAAGATAACTGTTCTCATCTTTGCTGTAGTAACAGTGAAGCTACATGAGTCATGTCTAAAGATGACACATATTCTTTGAAGTTTTTCCCACAGATTTTAATTGCTTGTCTCTGGTTCACTAAACATCTACTTTGTGCAAATGGTGAAGAATGTTGAGTCCATTTAAGACTGAACAGGTTTTCAAACAGGTGGAATTTGAGTGATCAAATTGCATTTTTCTATGGGACACTTGACAGTACAGAAATGAGGAATTTTTCATCCTGAAATATATTGCCAAGAGACCCTGTGGTACATGTTTTTGTCTGTACTGAAGTGATTTATTTTCCTTAAGCACTGTGCAGCATATTGCTCTGAAGTTAGAAATACTTACTCTTCTGTCTTGAAACAAAACGTGTGGAAAGTCATGCAGTTGAAGTGTCCTTAGAATCAAGCATACAAATGAGACATGTGAATCTCCAGTGTAGAAAACTAATATGCTAAGAGGAAAGGGGAAGCAAGATCAGAAGATAAAAAGCTAGATGTATTGAACAGTAAATTGGAATTTTTTCATGCATATAAGAGATTGTCATAAAAGTAGCGCAAACAGTTAACAGTTTATAAAAGCAGTTTAAATAAGGAATATTATGAAATCTAACAGATGAGTTTCTTGAAAATTTCATTATGTATTTTCCCCACATAGAAAAGTCACTCACAAAGCCAAATAAATAGACATTATTTTATTGCTATGCATAATGTAGTATTTCTTGTTATGTTGGGTTATGTTCCGGGTGTCATTAGCTTCTGATTTGAAATTGCCAGAATAGCCTGGATTAATTTCTGACTTCAGCAAGCACCATGATTTTCCTTTGTTTCTGGAAACAATGAATATATCTCTGCTGCCTGCCTGCCCATAAAATGAGTTCATTGAGTGTAAAATTTTATCATACTTGTGAACGGGAGTACTGATTTGGAAGTGTTGTGTGCTGACCTTGCAATCAGTATTTCAGGTATCTGTGCCTGTGACAGGTGTTGGGCATTAAATTTTTTTAACATTTAAAATGGTAATGTTATCTGCAAATAGGACTGAATAGACAACTTTAAAGAAAAACAAAACAAAAGGACTAAACTCACAACTCATTATAGTTGCTGAAGCAGCTATGAAGTATTTACGAGTCTCTGCAGCAATGTCCGAGTCAATCAAAGTAGAAGCACTGGAGTCTGTAAAAATCTCAAAGGATTACTTCAGAAAGTAAAATGTATTCACTTTTTTTTGCACTCTTGATATCGTGGTTCTCAGTAAAACAAATCTGGAATGGGTTTGTATGTCAAGTTTTAAGTGTTGGTCTCACCAAGTGGATTAATCAAAACCTAAAGCACAGCTACCTGTACGTATGACTCCTTAAACTGCTTAAAACTGAACAAAAAAATTCTCAGAATTTAAAATGAAAGGATACCTCTTTTAAACAGAA